ATATATTCCAATTCAAATGGTTATATATCTATCTATCCAAAATTAATTAATCTTCCATTAGCAGAAAGCTTCTGCTCTTATAAACATAATGAAAAAGTGAAAAAATTAGTCCCTAATCCAGAGAAGTTCTTCCATCTTCTTAAACACTTGATAAAGATTAAAGAGAATAATTCTAATATTCCTGTAGTCTTCTGCTAGCGCTTATACAAGCACTAAAAGGCAACAGTTTGGGATTTTCTCTTTCTGCTCATGGTTGTTCAGATCCAGAGACCTCCCCACAATGCACACAGAGTACAAACATATTCACACATAAATGCACAGATGTGTCAGAACAATTAAATGGGGGTGGGGTGGATTATGTTCAGATAAAGTCATGGAACAAAACTGAAGAAAAGTTACTTTCTCCAGAGATCTTGCCCAGATAAAAAATCTTGTCACACACAATGGTGTTCCAACGATACACAAATCCAAAACACAAACAAATAATTTATGTTAACAGAAGCAGAGAAAAGCAGAACAAGCAGGCAGTTATTTAATAACAAAAGTGTCCAGAAAAATGAAAAAAAATGTTCACAATTCCGGTTATTTATAAAGATACCTTCAGGTAAAGGAGCTTCCAATCTTTTAGAAATGGTAACAGATACTGTTTCTTCAGAAACAAACATTTTCTCTTCTAAAACAGCCCTCTTAGGCATCTTGGGCACTTTAAAAGACATTAAATGTGTACAGATTTAACTGGAATATATACATTCCTGGCAGATGACTGCAACTATTTTCAATATTTATTTGAGAGTTTAAATGGTGCTGGAGTGAGGAGTAAACTGAACAGTACTTTTGAATATGCAATGTACAAATAAAAGCTAAACAGCATTGCAAAACAAATACTTAAAAACCCATCTCCCTACCTCCCATTACCCGTGCAACAATATCTTCATGAGTTACTAGCAATATGCATGGTACACATACAAAGCATGGAACAACAGTCAGCACACAACAAGAAAAGACACTCTGATATGTTCAAGTTATTCCAACTATAATCTGAGATATACCTTTAGCTGGAGGGGGTTCAACTCTTTTGGGCACAGCAACAGGAACTTTTTCCTCAGCAATTACTTTCTTTGGTACCTCAGGCACTTGAAAGAGATGGAGTTTGGAGTTTAGTTTTAGAATTTCCAGTGGTAACAGAAGTGCAAACAGTGCATGTAAAATAGTGGGGATTATGATGAAGGCAGAGCACACCCACGAACAGTGCAGAAGTGAAACCCAGATGGTTTTTCTTCTTTTTCAATTTTGTTTTCTCCTAAAGGAGGGTACTATACCTTTTGCTGGAGAAACCTCTTCCTTTTTACGGAGTCGGGGTACTTTTTCCTCAGGAACTGGTTTCTTGGGCACCTCCGGTACTTTTAAAAGAAGCACATATAGGAATATGTAGAGGCTTCAAAACATAATTATGACTGATTTCCTGAACAACTGTAAACAGACTTGAGCATAAGACTCAAGTGAACTGGGGTGTAACTGAACACCCATAGGGTTAAGGTGAAAATAAAAAGGGAGAAATAAAGAAACGTGTCTCTTTTTAATAATGGGGTGTGATTCTTGTACCTTTAGCTGGGGGAACCTCTTTTTTCTTCGGAACGGCAACTTTTTCTTCTGGAACAACTTTCTCATGTACCTCTGGCACTTTAAAAAAGATTTAAAAATGCCAAAATTTAATGTAATTAAAACAAAGCAGCAAGTGTATTTATCAGTCTTTGAGCTTGGCAAATATAATACGATGAATGGATTCTTAATTGAATCACAGCCAAATGGAGAAGTCTCATTTACTATGCCTTCTCTGTAGCAGATCAATAGGTAGCTCATCCCATCTCTGATACTTATAATAATATTAGGATAAACTGTGAGTGCCTTCTGACATATTTAAGGCACCTACTGGTAGTTCCAGCATCTAGTGTCTAATTAAAAAATAATCGTTTATGAAGACAGTGTTGCATGGATGATACAATGCAAAAAACAAGAACAATCATTGTAACACAATAGCATTACCAGTTGAGGTATCCCAGATCAGTTTTGAGTGTGTGCCATAGGATAAATGTTTGAACCAATAAAATAAAATACTCTATTTTTCAGTTCTGTTACATACCTTTAGCAGGTGGTACCACTTTTTTAGGAATGGGAACAGGCACTTTTTCCTCTGGGACTGGCTTTGGCACTTCAGGCACTTTAAAGATATTAAAAGTAAAACTGAGAATTCCTTGGATATGTACAGTATCAACAACACTCAATGGTTAGTGATTTACATGTTAAATTGAAGGAAAAGATCGCAATTCTGAAAGAGATGCCCCCAGTCCACCCCAACATTCAGATGGTCCTCAGCTTAAGAATGATGTCCTGATGTCCATCGATAAGCAAAAATGTCCACTCAAGCACCAACAGCCAAACACAGAAAAATACTAATAGTATCAACTCGCCCCCACCCCCCAGCAGAAAAATAAAAGTACAGGGGATGTTAATTCTATTGAAAAGTCTAATTTCAAAGTACCTTTAGCTGGTGGTGGTACTTCTTTCTTGGGGACTGCAGCAGGCTTTCTTTTTTCTGGAACAAGTTTCTTAGGTACCTCAGGAACTGTATTGTCAGTTTAAAAAAGAGAATTTTTTTTTTAATTTTAAAAAATAAAACTTTAGTATTTTGGAACTCTTATTTGGGGAGGAGGGTGCAGAATATTCAACAATTGCTTCAACATGCTCAAAGAAGTAGAAGGGAGCCATACAACAAATGCACGTTACTAAATCTTCTGTGTTATTAGAAAATACTATTCTCACAGGATGCAGTCACAAACAGAGCTGCATCAAATCCCACTGATTTTTGACCATATAATGGGCCTTTTTCAATAAGCCCTCATCCCCTATTCAGACACAACGGGCCTTGCCTCCTATACCCTGTTCTGCCAAAAAGCAAAACTCGGCAAATTATTCTTCACTTCATTGAAGTATGTCTGGAATATATATGCACGCCTATATAAGTGATGTATGGACAGATACATTTTGGAAAAGAGTGAAGTCAAGCAAGTGTCCTGCCCGTTGGTGTACCTTTAGCTGGAGGAACCTCCACTTTTTCAGGAGGAGCAGGTTTTTTCTTTTCTGGGACTGGCTTCTTTGGCACCTCAGGAACTTTAAAAATACACAATATGGAAGTTTAGAAATCTGTTCAAGACCTATTCATCCTAATGAAATCCTGTTCAACATGAACAGTAATGTTTTCTTTTAAAAAGCACATATTATTCTGACAAAGAGAGGTACAGTTATGAAAGATCAAATCCATGGAATCAAATATACAGTACTATTAACAGAAATGATGTTATTAGAAAAGCTGCCTCTTTATTACAGCAAAAAGATATTGTTATCTCATTATTATTAATTTACCTTTAGCTGGCGGAGGCTCTGGTTTCTTGAGGACAGCAATAGGAACTTTCTCTTCTGCTTTCTTAGGGACCACTGGAACTAGAAAATAGTAATTTTGAGTTTATCAGGTAAAATCAAAGTCTTTCTCACAGACTAAACTTGAGACTGATATTATATTTGAAAAACAATGTAGGGTTTGCTAATTTGTTTATAGGTGCAAATATAGATGCTCAGAAACCTGGAGAAAGATCAATAAGAATATGAAATAACAAGTAGAGAGATGCAAGGATGAAGCTCTTGACAGCTAGAAGTTTACCTAAGCCCTGACACTAAAGCAAATTATTTAACTCAGTTCTTCTGAACCTACGGTCTAGGGACCAGTGATAATCTCTTAAAATACTGCAGCTCGTTATTTATATGGACATCAAAATAAAATAGTAGCTTTTTTTTCCAATTATCAAAATCTTGAGAGATCACTAAATCTCTCAGAATTTTGCTTTTCTTCCTTGAAATCTTAAGAGATTCTAAGTAATAATATCAAAATTGCAGAAGATTTGGCAATCTCAAGATTTCAGTCAATTAGAAAAATGTTATTTTTTATTCTACTTTGGAATAATGTAGACACCATTGGGGGAAATGTATGCTATTACGCCCATAGACACCATGTTTCCAAGCCCTGGTTTTTAAGGTGGTTCTCAGAAGCTTTTAATGATGATGCCATGACCTTTCTAAAGTAAAAATTGGGTATTGCTGATATAACTGATTTAAAAAATCTACCTTTAGGTCGTGGAACTTCGGGAACTTCTACATAGAACTTTTTTTCTTCATACTCTTCTGGTTCTTTAAAAGAAAGTGGTAAAATTGAAAAGTTGTATTTATCCTACTTCCTACATAAAACTAAAATACTGAAATCAATTTAGATGGTCAATTAACAAAAGAATGAGAGACAGAATTGCTATTTTTGTTCCCTAATTTCCAATTATTCTTCTGATCTTGAGTACATAGCTTCTATGTTATAACTAAAGCAACTACAGTGATGAAATTTATTATTCTATATATTCATTTGTCATCTGTATAGCACTCAAGAGATTTTAAAAAATAGTATACAGAAATAACTACACAGAGTCTGTTTAGAACAGTTAGGAATTTGTATGAAATAACCTATTACCAAACTAGGTAAAGCTATGTTAAAATAAAACTGAATTTACCTTCAGTTGGATATTCCACATAGAAGCCTTCCTCCTCATATTCTTCAGGTTCTTTAAAAGAGAGTTATCACATTTAGAAGATGGATTTACACTATTTTCAATACTATTGAAATGGTCCATAAGACAAAACAGAGATATGAAATAGCACCCAGAGTCATACTCTGACCTCAGCCCAGAGAGATACTTAAGCTCCTAAAGTTATGAAGGATAAATGCTTTGGGCATTTCAAAATTAGCAGGTTCTCGCAAACAGGAAAAGGCTCACAAATAAAAGAACGAGGCAACTCTTTTTCATGGGGGACAGTTCTGTGCTATGCTCAAAGCTGCCATATTCAGAAGAGAGCATTGAATAGAGACAAATGCATTTAATTGGCCCATTTCTTTTTTTACCCTAGACAAGGTGGTAAGAGAGAAAAGAAATGATATATGCTTTTAACTACCTGAACCATATTTATATTCTTCTTCTTCGTGATAGGAAACAGTCACTTTTTCCTCTGAAATAGTCCATTTCGGTTCAGCTGGGACTGAAATAAGAATTCAGTCAAAAATATGAAATTAAACATATGAAACTGATTTACAAACACATATCTACTACATTATGCACCAGGATTCCAAATAAAAAGTTGCTATAAGTAAGACGTAAGGATAGGAAAAAATTCCAAGACTGAATGATCTGATCACAAATCAGGCCAGTCCAAATGTTCTAGAAAGCATTTCAAGGTTGGATGAGTTCAGGAACTTTTAGAATAGCCCATTTTCAGGTTGAAACATTCTGTGGCAAAACATTTTGCATAGCCCTAGAGAACAATTATTTGACACCAGAAAGCAAAACTGCATTGTCAAAGAGCAATCACAGTTTCCTATGCAAATGTTACAAGCAGAATAAAGAAAATAGCCATTTCCAAAAATTGCAAAGATGAGAATTTTGAAGTATATGCATGCTTTGGAATATACCCCCCCCCAAAACCCACCCCAGTGTCCATGAATAAATGTAAAGACTTCCTCGTTGAGCTTGATTCCTGATAACTTTATGGTCATCTCCATGTACTTTCTTGGGAACAATAAGGAAGTGATCATCTAAGATTTTTTTTTTTTTACTTTCCCAGTCTAACCCATGCCTGGAATTCCTGCTAACTGGTCTGCTGGGCATAGTGCCCTTTAGATGAATGTCAAATATCACACAGGAAAAAAAAATCAAAGAACAGACTTTCCGTTCATATAAACTAAATTCTCTTATTTCCAATCGTGCACCCAAAGTATAATATACACTGTGCACCACTACATGGAATTGTGGTTTTTATTACATTGCCTTCTAATCGGAAACTCAGTGATGAGCACTGACCAACTAGTACAAAGTATTAAAACTTAAACCCATTAGTTAAGGGTATATTTCTTCTAGAACACCTTCCAATGAGGATTCACCATTTTAAGTAGCCATGGAATATTCATCTCTATTGGAAAAAGAATCCAAATGCTGGAGGGTGTGAAGGAAATACCCTTTTCAAATTCTTTTTTATAGTAGAATTTTTAGGAAGAGGCCTTGATTAATTGATAGGGATTCTGTACAGAACACTGTTCCTGTTGGATGGAGATTGGTTGTGACATTTTTTTAAAGTCCCATTATTTATTTTAATTTTCTATTCCTTCAATGGAATAACTGAACATGCATTCATAGGGGAAAGGCTAGTAGAATACTGAACTGAAAAAAGTGTGAACCACACCAGGAAAGATAGGAAAAATGAATGGATATTATTTATATAAATCAGTGTTCATATATGACATAGGACACTGTTTCACAAGAACACAGAAAGAAATGGAAAAACTTGAGATTTTGTACCTTTTCGTTCTATAACTTCCTCATGGACAAGCATCTCTGCAGGTTTTTTGGATGGAACTTCTGGAGCTTTAAGGATATAAAAGGTAAGTCCCAAATATATGAAAGATATCAAAATCTTTCAAGCATAATTAAGGATAAAATAATAAACCAATAAACCAATAAATAAATAAATAAATAAACAAACAAACAAACAAATAAATAAATAAATAACATTTTAAAGCCGCCTTCCCGATCCTGTTGTGTTGGGTCAGGCTGGCTGAGCATTCTGGAGGCTAAAGTCCAAACACATTTGACTGACAGGCACCAGATTTAGGAAGATTGTTTTAAAACTTAGCAAGGGAAATAAAAGGAACCAAATAAAATGAGAAAAGGGTAGAACATATTTAGAAAGGAGAAAACTGATACCCAGTAAAAACAGCAAAGAAACTGAGATGTGTTTCAACCTTTTTTCTAAATCAAGCTGAACAGAACTTGTACTGTGTGACTATTTTAATATCTTCTGAATTTTCCCCTATTACTTATGTGAGTATAGCAACCCCAGATAATTAGCTAGATATATTGTAACGATTAGCTAGATGCCATTGCTTTTAATGGATTATTTTAAATTTCTTTGATTCCATAGATAATAACAATTGTTATTAAAAAATCATGAGTATATCATATGTTGAGACTGTAATTATTTTAAGTGCTTAGGACATATCACTTAATATTTTAAAAAGATCATTATTAGCAATAGAAGTCTTTTTATACATGCAATTAAAGGGACATATTTTGAAGCCATTTTGGAAGTAGGCCAAGGATCACACAACATTAGAATGAGGAGCATGCACACATTTTACTCTGGTGTTCCTATATTTCACTGATATTAAATTAAAGCAAAAATATTAATAGCACCATTCATTGTTAAAAACCTAATTTAATTTTTGTTCATCCTTACCTTTAACTCTTCTCAGTCGTTCTTCCTCCAGCTGCTGAGCTGTTTTTGCCACCTCTTCAGTTACAGGCTTCCGAATAACTAAAGGGGATTTAAAACACTTAGTATGACTTTGTGTCTAAATATTTTAGCCTTGAGATGATCAGATCCTTTACTATACGCTATTTTTAAAATCATGTTGGATTCTAGAAGAAAGTCTCTGCTGTTTCTGAGATGGACCATAGTTATGCCCTGGATTGGCCTGTATTTGTCCTTAATAAGAGAGAGAACCGATAAGACAAATAAGGACAGAGAAGAATAAGAGTCTATTTCTTAAGTGACTTTGCTTCCACTTTCACCAACACTACCTCTATCCTATCCTACTTGCAGATGGCAAAAAAGAGGAGAAGCATGCATTCCATTTCACTGACTTCTTGGAAAGGCATATAAATTTGGGATCTGTGTTTACCAAATTATGTTGTTCTCATGACAGCTTTTGAATCTTGTCCCTGCCCAACTGCTTCAATCAGTGATGGAGGATCCACTGGCACTGGTGGCTTCTTTCAGGACCCCACTCCTTTGAATACTTGCTATGGCAATCCTACCTAATTTCTGAGACCGACTGGGGAGGTTAGAATGAAAACTTCAGGGTCTCCCTCTCCACCTCTAGAAACTCCTGATATTGGAGATTCCTTTTGTTCTCTTTGTTCCCAAGTACTTCACACTAAAAGTTCAGAGCTGAGATATTTCATTTCAGAATTATTGATATAGTCATGAATGGTGTTGAGAAGGAATAACTGATTAACAGTTTGGATTTACTGATAACAATCCTTTTAATAAGTGAGATGAAGCAGAACATAACCTGACAAGTGTTGCAGTATCCAATTTTTTTTTTATTTATTAGATTTCTCTCCAGAAATCTCCATATTAAGACTGGACAAACAGAGATAGTGAGTTTTATACACTTAACAACAAAAATATGAATTTAACACAACGTTTATGACTAGGATTCAGCATGTCTTCATTCTACATGAGCCAAAAATGGTTCCACACATGAATAATTGGCAGACTAAAAATATCTCTGGGGGGCAACCTTATCTTGGTAGTATAGAGCCTCTGCCTTGGACTCTAGTATTTTAGAACCCATGTTATTTAGAAAACCCTATTGTTTTCTAAACAATCTACTATATAAAAGTAAACTTGCTAGTAAATATGTGCTTTAAAAAAGCAAATTTTAGACAAAACATGCTGCAGTAGAAAGTATGTCAATGCTAGGATTTTAATGCCCAAACCTTTCTGTGTAATGATTTTTTTCTTTTCTTCTTTCTTGGCTGAAATTTCTGGTGGTTTTCGCACAGGCTCTGGCTTTTTAGGAACTTGGACCACTGTAACAGGCATAAAACTTGTTTCAAGAAAGATACTGTTCGATCTTTGACACATGGCATCCATATCTCATGCTAATTTAGAGCGCTATTAGTTGACATTATTTTATTCATTTTACTCTCTTTCCTGTCTATGTCCCTGTTCTAAGAGCATGACATCAGTTTAAGAAAATGTTATAAAATAAAAATAGAATATTTAATTTTATATATATAAAAAAGGTTTTATATATATAAAAAAGGTTAGGATCATATAATGGTAGCAAAGGAAAAGATGAGGTGAATCTTAACAGAATAAAAGTTTATTTAATGTCATTAAGTGCTGCATATACATTTTTAAAATATTCTACCATCATTTTGTCATACCAATTTCCTTATTTGAACAAATATTACTTACACTGCTGTTCACATGTTGGCAGAATTAGCCTGGCCAAGCCTATGCACTAAATCATTTTAGTCAATTAAATAGCTGCAAAAAAATAAAATGTGTAGCTTTTTTAATCCTATGGAATTACCATCCCCATCATCCAGAAAGGTCAGTAAAACAATAGATATTGATAGATTTAATGATCTATGGAAGTTATTATATAAAAGAGAAAGAAGGGAAAAAAGGGAAATTGTCTTTCTAAAAAAGTAATATACCTTCTTCGTGATAAACTGGCTTTTTCTTGTAAGTTACTTCTTTTTCTGCATATGTCCATTCATCTTCTCCTTCGTCATAACCTTCTTCTTTTTCATAATATTCATGTTCCTCCCCATAATCCTCTTCCCACTCCTCCCGATAAGCTGGTTTTTTCTCGTAAATTACTTTTCTTTCTTCATATGTCCATTCCTCTTCCCCTTCATCATAACCTTCTTCTTTTTCATAATATTCCTGTTTCTCCCCATATTCCTCTTCCCATTCTTCATATGCTTCTTTGCGAACCTCATAGATTTCTTCCTTCTTCTCATAAACAGGCTCCTTCTTCTTAATCACAGTTGTGACTTTGATCTTTTCAGGTTTCTTGGCTGGAACTTTCACATATAAAACATTGCATGAACCATTGAGATCAGTATTCTCATACATTAATAAATCCATGAGCTCAGAAACAGTACATGGTTGCTTTTTCAAAGATATATCATTTATAAAACATGAGCAATATTTTTTTGTTCAAGACAGATGTATTTATTATAAGTTGAAAGTGATTTGCCAAGTGAAAATCCTAATTCTCTCCTCCTCCCATGTTTGGCTAAGATATTTAATATATTGATCATATACATTAGTAATTTATTCAGCAAGCACATCTGTCATAAGATGAGAACACAAATGTTGCAGAAAGGAAGAATTCAACATGAATTGGATTATCAGAAATTATGATGACTAAAGAGGAATGAAGAATAACATCCACATTTTTAATTGCCTAAGTAAAGAGCTCTTTTCCGTGCAACAGATTATTTTCTGGGGAAATACATTTCAGTCTTTGATTACTTACCTTTGGTTGGAATAATTTCTTCTACTTTGGGGACTGGGACTGGGGCAGGAGGTGGTGGTTTCGGTTTCCTTACTGGTTCTGAAACATTTTAAAACATATCTAATAAGAAGTTTGTTTCCCCACCATGCAACTGCACTTCAATGTGATCTGATTTTGATTTGATCTATACAAACAACACTGAGATGGCACTGGATTCAGTTTACCAATTTATACAATGAGATATTTAATATATTGATCATATACATTAGTAATTTATTCAGGAAGCACATCTGTCATAAGCTGAGGACATCTGTCATAAGATGAGAACACAAATGTTGCAGAAAGGACGAATTCAACATGAATTGGATTATCAGAAGTTATGATGACTAAAGAGGAATGAAGAGTAAATCCACATTTTTAATTGCCTAAGTAAAGAGCTCTTTTCCATGCAACAGATTATTTTCTGGGGAAATACATTTCAGTCTTTGATTACTTACCTTTGGTTGGAATAACTTCTTCTACTTTGGGGACTGGGACTGGGACTGGGGCAGGAGGTGGTGGTTTTGGTTTCCTTACTGGTTCTGAAACATTTTAAAACATATCTAATAAGAAGTTTGTTTCCCCACCATGCAACTGTACTTCAGTGTGATCTGATTTTGATTTGATCTATACAAACAACACTGAGATGGGGCTGGATTCAGTTTACTAATTTATACAATGAGATATTTAATATATTGATCATATACATTAGTAATTTATTCAGTAAGCACATCTGTCATAAGCTGAGGACATCTGTCATAAGATGAGAACACAAATGTTGCAGAAAGGAAGAATTCAACATGAATTGGATGATGAGAAGTTATGAAGACTAAAAAGGAATGAAGAGTAACATCCACATTTTTAGTTGCCTAACTAAAGAGCTCTTTTCCATGCAACAGATTATTTTCTGGGCAAACACATTTTGGTCTTTGATTACTTACCTTTGGTTGGAACAATTTCTTCTACTATGGGGACTGGGACTGGGACTGGGGCAGGAGGTGGTGGTTCTGGTTTCCTTACTGGTTCTGAAACATTTCAAAACATACCTAATAAGAAGTTTGTTTCCCCACCATGCAACTGCACTTCAGTGTGATTTGATTTTGATTTGATCTATACAAACAACACTGAGATGGGGCTGGATTCAGTTTACCAATTTATACAATGAGTCGTGTATTAATAAGCACTTATCACTCCCACTGAAGTTTTAACAGTGCAATTTACCTATACCAAAAGTACACCCACTAAATTCAATGAATTTAACAGATATAGGATGACATTTAAAGAGCAAAAAACAAGACATAAAACATGAGAAAAACATCCTAAATATGCCTTTTTTTCAAATTCAGCTGTTACAATCTAATATAATAAAGCTGAAACCAAATCACTCCCCATTTCAAAGGTCAGGAGACCCAGTGAAACTCTTTTACAGAGCCCAATATGCATATGTAGCCTCTTCAGGAGTTAGGCTCTGGGTCATTCACTGTAACACGTGAAATACACTGAAGTTTTTAGAGGAACATGAATGAAGCTCAAAAAGATATGATAATTTTTCTTCATTAATACATTGTTCTTTATAAATGTGCTTTATACCCTGGGAAGAAACAACTTGACATACCTTTAGGAGGTGGAACTTCCTCTGGGACTTTTGGAGTCACCTTTTTGATGATTTTCTTTTTAATCACTTCAAAAACAAAAATGAAATTAATTAAGCAGCTAAAGAAACTGATCAAATAGAATATTTGGAAATATCCCTTGAATACATGTTCTGAAATGCAAGGCTGCAATACCTTTTTCTTTTTTCTTTTCTTCTGGCACAGGGATGAAGATAGGAAGAACAGGAACATCTTACAGAAAAAGGATTATATTTATTAAAATCTTTTCATGGTGCACCCAGTTCTTAAATACTTCTTTGCCTAACTTAATAACGGTCTTTTTAAAAGTAAACCTTACCTTCAGCTGGAACTTCAACTGGAACTGCAACTCGGGCATCTGGGACATCTGGGAAGCCAATGAACAAGTAACAGAGTGATCATATTAATCTAGTTATATGCTGCATGCTAATAGTATTTTAATTTTCCAAGCATCGAGCCTTCTGAATCTAAATTGGCATTGTACATGCATCAAGAGATCTGTCAGCAGGCTGGGCAGAACCTGAAAATTGGTAAGGAGTAAAAAAATCTTTGGAGGGGGGAGCCCTAAAAATCCAATTACCTTGAAAAATAGTCCCTTAGGAATGAGAATGAACCATTGGGCTAGAAAGCTGACTGGCAGAGGGGAAAAATGCAAAAACAATAGTAGGGAGGAACAAAACAGAGCATCCTGAAAGAGAGTCTAACCCGAAGCAGTAAAACTCCATATTGCAATATTTTGTTGTTGGAATCACTTATTGCAAATTACTGTTTCCCTTGAGAAAGTTTGTTATAGGTGGTGAACTCTTTCCACTTTAGATGGCTTTTTGTGGTGCATGACGATCATATTACAGAACATGCAGCACAGGCAGAACCACCACCAAATGAGCATAATTATAAAGTATTACCAGCAACAACACAACCACAGATACAATAAAAAAAACATTTCAGCTGGATGTGTTCTTATATTTACAGCCAACTATAGAAGAAGTTTAACTGACACTTAACTATTTATGCAGAAGTATAAAAGAACCCGAAGCAGATTTTTCTGTATGCAACAATGCACTTTCATTAACGTGTGACACACCGTGCACGGGGGGTCTTCACAGCAGTTGCTTTAACTGAGCACAAAGAAGTGGCCAATAAAAATAAAAAGGTTTGGTGTTTGATGTTTCATAGTGGGCTAGAGACCACTAAGATGGCATGCGGAAGGATGGGAGAGTGTTGCCCCCGGGTGCCATGAGTTTTTATCCATTTTTATTCTGCTTGTTCGTTTTTGTTTGTTTTTACTGTTTCGTGTTCATCCCAGGGTTGTGGTGACAACATGGGCAGCTATAAAAGTCTTTTAAAATAAATACATGTACAAAAATAAAAGGTAGCTCAAAAGGCATTCATTGTGTTTTTTCCTTACCTGGAGGCTTTACTTCCAGTTTAATCTCTGCAAGAGAAGAAATCAAACTTGTAGTTGGAATGATTTTGACTTCAGAAATATTATTCAGCAAGACAGTGCATACTTGAAACCTGGAGTGAAGAGGGACTAACCTTTAGTAGTAAGGTAGAGTTCAGCAGTGCTTCTTGCTTCACCTCTTGGCTCAAGGCGAGCAATAACTGAATACACTCCTAATGAATGAATGAATGAATGAATGAATGAATGAATGAATAAATAAATAAATAAATAAATAAAGGTATGATGATATTTATGGCAGTTTACACATTTTTAGAGATAGGAAAAACTAGCAAGAAAGAGAGTAAGATCACCTTCATCATCTGCAGTAACGTTGTGGATAGTCATATAATGGCATCGGCCTTCGCTCCTAAAGCTGTACTTCAGACTCTCCTTGAGCTCTGTTGCCCCTTTGTACCATGTGACGACGGCATCATCAAAGGAGACTTCACACTCAAAGGTTGCAGATTGGAATTCACTGACCACAATATTTTGGATGGTCTTTGTAAACTGAATTGGTTCAGCTGTGGTTTTCGAAACAAATGAAAAATAGGACAATTACTCTCATCTTTCATTTGGTTTTGCTTCTTTTTACAATTTTGTGCGCACAAATATATGTATGCATGCTTAAGTGTGTGCATATGTGTAGGTATACTCATACCCATTCATGTTTCAATTCAAAGACATAAAGAGATACAAAGAAAAGAGCCTTCGGTGTTTGCATGAGAATACACTCTTACTTTCAAAATGGATTTGAGATATCAGGTAATTATTACAATATCTCTCATACCAAAATTAAAGGAAGCACAGGAGACAAATTGAAGTTAATTGTTGTAATCATAGCAAAATCAGATCATAAGAAGAAACAAATGAGTTTAAAATCCTATCATCAAGTTATGAGAAAGTTGAAAAAAAAAGATAAATCGTAATTAAATATGTGACAATAAATTAAAAAATAACTTCAGAAAAGCAACTATGTTATTAAGATGTGATTAAGAATGATCTAAGCCTGCTTATTTTTATGGAAAAATAAATTCTTTTTACAAACCTTCAATTGTTAGCTCAGCAGTTGTCTCTAGATGGTCAAATCTGCAGGTATATTGTCCCTGGTCTTCTGTTCTTACATCTTTGATGATGAGTCTATGCACTTTGTCGGAGACATCTGTGGAATATCTACCTCCTATATGAAGGACTTTTCCATTTCTGTACCACTGAGATTTTGCATTTGGCACAGAGAATTGACAAACCAAAGAGCAGGTAAAGCCTTCTTTGAGGGAAGTATCACGCAAATGACGTTCAACTGCAGGTTCTGTTAGCAAGTTAAAATGCATGTTTTAGAAAATACCAGCTAAAAACTACATCAAATAATTTTAAATATTTGCTTGATCAAAATGTTGCACTAATTTTGCACTTACCAATCACGTTAAGCTTAGCACTGGCAATATGTGGACCACAGACCACTCTGTAATTTGCCTGATCTCCAAGTTGACAATTCCTGATTTTAAGTATATGCCGGTCTCCTTCAATTCTGATTTCATACTTCTTGCTTGAGATCAATCTCTCTGTGCCTTTGTACCAGGACAGTTTGATTTCTGGATAATTTATTTTAATATCACATTCAAAGATAGCATCTTCATCTGTTAATACAGTCTGATCTTCAATATCTCTGATCAAAGTAACGGGCTGAAAAACATTTTTCATATGTTTTGAATCTCTGTGTTAAGCACGAGTCTCACTGTATAATAACTCTGTAAACATGCAGCATTAATTATATATTATTATAATTGAAGTATGACATTAATTACCTCTGTTTGTGTAAGCCTTTGCTGAATGAATGCTACAAGTTCATCAAACTCTTGTTCTTCTCTCCTTGATCTCTCTTTTACTTCAATCTCCTGTTGAAACCAAGACCATGAATTAACATGATTTTTTTCTTTTTATGTTCCACTTTATAAACAGTGCAAACCAACACAAACACCAAAACCTTATTAACCTAAAGGAAATATGTATATCTGTTGCAGAACAAATTGCTTCTGTACATTATGGCTAGCTTTTAACATTTCTGGAATACCAAATTTAGCACCCTACTCAGAATTATCAAAAGTACCAAACTACTTTTTTTTCTCTTTGTCTGCTCTTCCTGATTGCAAGTGTTAAAAATGTTCATTTTAAAATCTGTTATTTTAATCCTTGGAGAAAGAACATGAAATTGCTTAGTACAGCTTTCCTCAAACTGGTGCCCTTCAGATATATTGGACTTCAGTCCCTGTAATTCTCACGATAGTTGGTGGGAGAAACTATTGTAGAAAAAATATCTTTTTAGGGATGGGTAGAGATTATAGCCCACAAACTTAATCATAGACATTATTTTTGATTAGTAAAGTCCCTCTATAACTAACACATTTCTGAATCAGGTGAACAGCTCTCAAAACTTACTAGGCGTTACCTCCTATCCAGAGAAAGGTAAAGTACCTCCCCCCACCCCCCGCCAATAATGTGGGATTATTGCAGCATCCAGAATGGAAGGAAGGGTTTTGGCTTTTATTAACAACCAGAAAGATCATATATAAATGTTGGGGAGAAACTACCCCAAATGATTCCATAGGGTATTGGAGTCAATAATGATGCCCATTGCAGAATATTAATTTTAAATGAATAATTCTACCTTTTAAACAGTGAACACATTTCTTAAAGCAACAGAACTATGGTTTAAAATGATTTTGTAAGAAATGAAATATTGGTGTTTACCAGTCTGTGTGTTTCTTCTCCCTGGGTTTCTTTTAGCAACTCAAATGCTTGCAGGAGACCTCGGAAATCTGTGATTCCATACATGCGAGCATATTTCTCATATTCTTTGGGATCTACATTTTTTAGGAGTTCCATGATATCAATTGCCTGTTCTTCCTCATCTTCCTTCCTTTTTGTGGGAGTTCTGCAGAAATAAAGAAATTACTTACTAAGCAAATAGACACCAACATCGATTTAACTTAGAGTTTGTGGGGAATGGTTTATAATTTTTCCAAGATTCTAAGCATCTTCACACTAATAAAGTAGGGTTTTTTGCTAAAGGAACTCTTAATGCTCACAGCCTTGATTGCAATCTTATAGCCATTTATCAGGGCTAAGTCTCCTTTAACAGAGTTGGACCTACCGCTGTGTTTCACTTTCAGTGTTACATTTTTAGGCAAAGCCTCCTACAGAAGAATGTAAGGGGCTTTGCTCTGGCAGATGGAGAAAACCAAAGTGGTGAAAATTGTTGTCTTCCCCTTTTAGTAGCAACATCATTTTGAGCAGAATTTTGCTTGGATATGCTCAGGATCCAACCCAATAAAATTTACAAAATTGTATATACTATGCTATGGTGATTAAAACATTACATTTGGAGAGTATTGCTTCCATTAACGAAAACTTGTACAATATGTATTACAAAAATGTTCATTTGTTCAATTGATAGGGCTGCCCAATTAACAAGTTACTCAAGGTGGCTTACAAAGAAGATTCAAAACATAAGGGGAAAAGGTAATAATAAAAAAATAACAACAGCTATTCCAGGGAAGATAAAAAATTAAAACACAAATCCTCCAGTGGGTTCACAAATTGCCCTGCTGCAAGAAACAAGTCTTTAAGAACATCCTAAAGAATAACAGGGTTGGGGACATATGGACTTTTGGGGGAATGTTTTTCCAAAGACCACACATGGCATCCCAGACAGTACATCTTCAGGGTCCCATAATAGGACATTGTTTTATTGGTGGGATCTGGAGCCTGCCAACCCTGTCAGAGTGAATAGGACAGGCAGACAGTTGAAGATAGGTGATCCTGCAAACATCCAAGTCTCAAACCATGAAAGGCTTTATGAAAAACCCTAAGGACCTTGAATTGCACCTGGAAGCCAATTGTCAACCACTAAAATTTGCAGAGTTGAGATGTTACATGGGTGTACAGAAGTACATTCACATTCTGGACCAGATAGAACTTTTGAACAGTCTTCCAGGGCAAACCCATATAGAACACATTACAGTAGTGCAAACAAGAAGTGACTAAGGGATGAGTGACACCAAGGGTCTCACAATGTAGGAATGGGTACAATTGGTACATAAAATGGATTTATGTGAAGGCTCTCCTAGCCATCTGTTTTGTTTATATTTGTGGCATTTTAAAATGGCATGTTCAATAGCACCTCTTTTGGGTATCCCACATTCTATGTAATGTCTCACACATATAATTATTATTACTTTTAACAGGATAACTGCTGTTGTCCTCAGCATTAAAGAAAGATTAAGTAATACTTTCAGATGAGCTGAATTATATTTTATTCTCCAACTTCTAACTATTACGGCAAGTTTTCCTTCTTACAGTTTAAAATTACTGGGAAATGTTTAATACTTACTTTTTTAATTTTGCTCTTAGGTCACCTTCAATAACTTCTTTCCTTCGTTCCTCAACCTGAAGGTTGGCAGCACTTTCAATTTCACCATGCTCATTAAAAGCCACACATCTGTACTGCCCAGAATCAGTTTTTGTTGCATCCTTGATTTCCAGCTTGGCCTCATCTCCTTTTTGCTGGATTGTAATGCGACCTCCTTGATTAAGTTGCCTCCACTTTCCTTTCATCCATTTCACATTGGGGATCGGATCACCACCAACTTTAGCAATAAATGTTGCTACACTCTCTGTTTGAAAAAAGACACATAGTAAAGAAAATGTCAGTCATAGGTTGAAGGAAAAGAGTAGTCAACAGATATGGGAAACAAAATATTTAGAAGCTGGGCTTACTTTCAATTATAGTGATACTTCGAGGTTCAGAGACAAAGAAAAGCTTTCCGTCAGTTGGTACTGCCTTAGCAACTGGTACAGCTGTGGGTTTTTCTGGAAGGCAAAGTGAAGTTAGTAAGTTGTAGAACTGAAAATGCCTGCTGAAGTAAATATGGCTGTATGTAAAAGCAAGCTTCTGCCCACTTCATTATATGGACGTGAGGATTTGGCACATCAGAAGAAACATAAAAGTAAAATGATGGTGATGGGAATATGGTAGTTAAGAAGTGTGCGTAGCAAAGCAAGATTAGATATTGTCAAGAATGATTGGGTGCTAAATAAATATGGGTTGAATATATATGTGAGTGACAATACAAAATAAGTATGTTGAGGTGGTTTAGTCATATGGGTAGTATAAATGAGGACTGAATCACAAAACAAATATAAGAAAGAAGAGTGAATGGGTCAAAGGGAAGGCCAAGGAAGATGTGCTTTGATGGAGATGAGATTTTCAAAAAGAGAGAGATCAGAACTTAAAGACCAACATATGAATCAATCTATGGATATGATGAAAGCAAGAACGGTGTGCAAAGATAGAAAAATATGGAGAGGTATAGTGATTGGAGTTGGCATAAAGTAGATTTTCTTTTCTTATCTCGTGCCTTTAATTTCTTTCAATTATTATTTTGTATTTAATTTTCTGTACTTTGCATAATGTTGCTTATCCCAAAAGTGAGTGTCATGATAGGTATGTATGTCAATAAGAAGTAAAACAGCATTGACTAAAACTGCTGCAAATGCAGATTATGTATTAGAGCAATTTTGTCTGATTTAATTTCATTCAAACCAGTGTAAATTAAATACTATGACGATCAAGTACTATTATTAAGGGAAGTTTTGATGTACAACGATGCCTATTGTTATGTAAGCTATAGTGCATTACATGCCTGGCAAAATCATCTACTTTGACATGTTTACAAAGTCCTCATAGTAGCTCCTGTTCTCTCACTCTAAATATTCAATTTAACTGTACCTTTAACTGTCACTTTTGCCTTGGAAGAATCACTTCCAGCTGTGTTTGAGGCTTTGCACACAAATTCGCCAGAATCAGTTTTAGTAACTGCTTGGATTTCTAAGAGAGCAGTTCCGTTTGCAAAGCTGAAGCTGCATTTGTCAGTTGATCTCAGTTCTCTCCCAGCTTTTAGCCACTGGATCCTAATTGGCTGTGATCCAACGACATGGCAAACGAGTTGCAGGATTTTGCCTTCGTCTATTGTCACTGATTTAAGAGGTCGATCAAATACCGGAGGCTTTTTGGGTTCTGAAACATGACAACATTAAGAAAGCAAGAGGAAGGAAGTAGTTAGACTACCAATCATCTTAAATGATAAGGCACATATCCAGGCAAGAATGCAATGCAGTGAATTAATTCCATTTTCTCAGTACAATATTTTTATAGGAAAAGTTGTGTAGCAGAAAAAAGGATTTTCTGTAGGGTATCGTACAGAAAGGTGATAGTGAGCATGTTTTAAGGTAATATACAAAGTGCTTGATACGTAATGTTCATTATCTATCTTTTATGCTAAACTTAATATGAATATTGTTAAGATGAAGGTCATTTTCAACATGGAAAATGTCCTAGATAGATGGACATTTCTAGATGGATCATAAAGGGGAGGTAGTTAAATGAATCTATGTATTATTGGCATACTTGTATCTACACATGCAAATGTTGGTGAGCCATAACAGTTGCCAACATATGCAATCCACCTCAACTGGTCCCCTTGAAAAACTTTTTTTTTCCTATTCATGGCTGAAATTTCTAGGTAGAGAGTGAAGAATAATAAAAGGATTGCTTTTCCTCAGAAAATAAGCATTGCCTTGCATATGAATAATAAAGACTTTTTTAAAAAATGAAGAAAGGTATTTTTTGCAGAAGCCAATCAATCAATCAATCAGTTGATCCTTTTCTTTATAGAAAAAAGGGGTGCACCCTTCATTTTAAAAACTATAATCTCAAATAATGAAGCACTTTGAGTTTTCTGTCATTGTGCTGCAACCAGCTATAAGACTATATAATATAGAACTGACTTCTGTTAACAAATGTAGAGTGGTAGCTGTAATGTAATTAATGTTCACTTTGACACAGTGGAAAATAGTAGTAACTAATAAAATAAACATAGTACAGTAGGCCACTAGGAAATGAACTAACCTTTAATGACAACGGAGGAAGTACAAAGGGCGCTTCCAACTTCATTGGATACTTTGCAGGTATATAAGCCTGCATCAGCTGGTCCTGCATTTTTAACAAGCAGCAGAATAGTGTTGTTCTCAAATGCTAGTTCACAGTTAGGACTTCCATAGATCTCCTGGTTATTTCTGTACCAGGCAACCATCAGAGGTTGGGTACCAGAAACATGGCCCTCAAGTTTAAAGCTGTTTCCTTCCGTCTCTTCTACCGTTTCAGATAACTTTTTGGTGAAAATAGGTGGATTCTGTCGCTCTGTCAGAAAGGAAGATTAAGAGAAAGTGGGCTAGTGAGAAAGATGTGTTCAGGCAAATCTTTTTAAATTCTATCAATTGTCTTGGGTTATCCTCAGAATAGCCCAATGTTTGCCACTTGTGTATGGCTAAGGAAGAAAGTGAGACTCATACATTTAAATCCACTATAAAATATATGTTCATAAATTAAAACATTACCAAGATATCACAGGTTTGAATAAAACTGAATTCCAAAATATTTATTTTTTGTACAATCAGAAAGAACGCCTCATTTCCTTGGTTTTCCATTTTTTGCTCTCACAAACTTTTAGATTCCTTCTCATGCATTTGTTCAAAACAGTGGTATTAATTCCAGAACTTCCCTATGAAAGTGGAATACAGTCATGGAAGGAGGATTTCTGATTTCTGTGGACTCCAATATTAGCTGCAGGATCTTTAGCATGGCATCCCACATCATTACAAAGGATGCCCCAGGTCTCAATTGTTTTCTGGCAGGTACTAAAGGTGTGCAAGTGAGACATTGCTCTGAGTTCTTTAGATAGACACCTACATACACACACAAACACACACACACTCCCACAATGGAATCTAAATCTCATCTTGTCGATGAAAATTTCTAGTACCTTTAATATTAAGTTGAGCTGTGCAAGACTCCTTTCCAACTTCATTACTAGCATGACATGAATATTTTCCAGAGTCTCCTTTGTCAACTTTCAGAATTGTCAAATGGGCTGTGTTTTCTATATAGCTGATCTGATACTTCCCTCCAGTTCGTAATTCACGATTATCCTTTGACCAAGTAACCTTAATAGGACGTGTTCCAGAAATATGACACTCAAAGTCAGCACTGTCACCAACAACTGCATCAACATGCGTAATTGGGATGTCAAAGAATGGTGGTCTCTTCCCCTCTAAATAGGAAGAAGTACAAGTAATTTAATTCAGCACATTTTAAGATTTACATCAAAAATAGAGACTTAACTTAAAGCTGGCTAATGATCTGAGCTTCAAATTGAGACTTGGTGTGCCATAAAAGTATCAAAGGAGAATTATTTATTACTTGACAAACCTGTAAGGATGAGTTTGGCACTACAAGAAGCAGTTCCAATGGCATTGGAAGCTGTGCAAGTATATTGTCCAGCAAGACTCATGTCAGTTTGTGAGATCTGTAGAGCTGCAACATTATTTAAATATGATGTTTGCACATTATAGCCATCTCTTATTTGTGCACCATCTTTATACCAGGTTACTTCAATTGGTTCAGAACCAGTAATGCCACAATCAAATGTAACTGGTAAGCCGAGAGTTTCATGAATGTCTCTTAATTTTCGTGAAAATGAAGGAGGAAGTTTACGTTCTGCAAGAAAACAAATATTGTACAGAGTTATTGACTGAATGGTCTGGGTTTGAGTTTGAGCATTACTGAAGGAGGTAATGAGTTCTGTTTTTCTTGATGTATTCTAGTATTGGCTGGACAACCATTGGTCATGGGTGCCTTAAGTGGATTCCTGAACTGATCAGGGGGTTCAACCTGATAGACTTAATGGTTCCTTCCAACTCTAGGATTCTAGTGTCTATCTATGCAAGATACATACATCTCACTGTAGCATAAGACTATCTAGAGCAGGGTTTCTCAGTCTTGGCAACTTGAAGATGTATGGACTTCAACTCCCAGAATTCCCCAGCCAGCAAAGTTGCCATGGTTGAGAAACACTGATCTAGAGTTATAATATATAGATTATAGAAATTAATACCCTTAACAGAGATAACATTAGTCATGCTTAAGCTAAACAGGATTTATCTCAAGTTTGTCTTTTCTAACAATTTTCAACATCTAAGACAGCGTATGACATAAAAGAAGGAAGATTTATTCTGACAACTTAGTGGATACAGTGAGTCTCTTGAGATGTTCTAGCCAATCACATGGGGTTGCTATTAACCAAGTGTACGAAGTTGCTTGTATTGGCTACAGAAATTCTCCATTGGTAAACAACAGCTAAAAACAGACATGTTTTCCCTCTCCCATGCCTTTGAAAAGAGTAATAAATAGTATTTCCCAAACTTTTAAAATCTGGTTGTCATACTCACCTTGAACAGATAGCAGTGCTGAAGATGCAGCTTCCCCAACACTGTTTTCTGCTTTGCAGACATACTCCCCACTATCATTGCTATCCACCTGGTTGAATACTAAAGTGGCCACTTGGTTTTTATAGTGCATTTTAGAAGTACTGGTTGGTCTTAGTTTTGTGTCTCCTTTGTACCATGATACACTGATTTCTGGTGTTCCAGCGATCTGACATTGTAATGATGCAGAATCTCCGACTGTCACCTGGACTGACTCTAGATTTCGGACAAAGTATGGTGGTTCTAAAGAACAAATGCACAGATTAGTCACAAAAGGAATTTGTTTCCCACTCAGGCAAACAATCAAACAACAAAATGGCCAATAGTTTTGTTAAAACATCCTTTGAAACAAGCTACATACCTAAGATTGATACAGCTGCCTGAGAATGATCTTGTCCTGAATCATTTTCTATATGGCAAGAATACAATCCAGCATCCTCTAGTCTGCTGTTAGAGATCTCCAGTATGGCAGATGTTTCTGTAGTGGTAATACTGCATTTTTCTGACTGAGATAAATTTATACCATTTTTCCTCCAAGATGCCCGAATAGGAGGGGTACCAGTGTATGAGCATTCTAAAATTAACTGTTTTCCTTTCTCAACACGGAAGTCATTCAGTTTCTTCACAAATTTGGCTGGTTCTATAAAAAATAACACAAGATGGGAAATTTAAAGTTATTGTTTAAAATTAATGGTTGTCTTTCTGTTTAACCTAGAAGACAATAATTACAGACCTTTTATAAAGAGGTGAGTTGTACAAGAGATTTTGCCAGCTTCATTACTAACAATGCAAGTATAGTCTCCACTTTGGATAGGGTGAACATCAAACAACTCCAGTTCAGCAACTGATTCTTCTAGAGATATGTTACATCTATGTCCTGGGACTAATTCAACGCTACCCCTAAACCATTTGACATCAAGAGGGAGGGTTCCTTTAATGATACTTGTGAATGTTACATTTGCTCCAGATAAAACTTGCAAAGGTTCAGGTTTCTTCACAAAAGATGGAGGTTCTAGATATACATAAAAAAATACAATGAAATATTGTTAATGTTAAATGTGCAGATTAAAGAACATAAAATACAAAGTTTAGATTTTTAAACAATTATTTTCTTTTAACACATATTATAATCTCAAATTTTACCTCTGATCATGAAATATGCTTCACATTCATCAGATCCAGCTACATTGGTTGCTATACAAGTGTAAGTTCCAATATCTGATTCTTGAAGAGCATTCACTTTTAAAGAGCACGTGTTATCTGTAAGAGTTGCTTGATATTTTTCTCCACTACTGATCTCATAACCATCATGGAACCAAGAAACAGAGATTGGAGGGGATCCAATGACTTTGCATTCAAGTACAGTTGATGAGCCCAAGAGACCATGTGTTTCTTTCAGCCTTTTTGTGAATGAAGGTGGTATAATGCGATCTGTGAGCACAAAGCAAAGATTAAACATTACAATAAGCAGTGACATCTGCAGGGAGGGGCAAGGGGGGGATGACAAAAGCAGTACTGTGCTGAGGCAATACAAGCTCCACCTTTTTTATACATGTGTCCTGATGCTATACGCATGTATGAAAAGAGTGAAACTCACAGTGCAATGCTGTTTGCATAATTCTGATGAAAGCAGTAGATCCTATGGACATCTCTGATGATAATAATAGGCCTTTTTACACAATTTCCTGAGTAACAAATGTTCAAGTGTTTAATGCTTTTGTTGTTTAGCGTATGTGTGTGTTTTGGCATATTATATTTAAGACAGTGCTGAAAACAAGCACACATTTTCTTTCCCTTTTAGAAAGGCATTCTCAACTGTGTTAACAGTACTATATGCCGTTAAAGGCAAAGCATAACTTGTGAAAGCGTATCTAAGGAATATTCATTGGTATAACTGATCCTCTGCCAGATATTCCTCAATAAGTACATTTCTAAGGCATTTAGGAATGGCACCTGGATGCCTAACAACACAAGTCAATGTATGCAAAACTCCATATGAAAATGCAGAAGAAATACAGAATTCATTATCTCCCATGTTAATCCACTAACCTGAAACCTGTACAGAAGCTGTACAGCTGCTCTGACCAACGCTGTTCTTCACCTCAAATGTATATTCTCCACTATCCTGTAAACCTGCATTCAGAATCTTGAGCCCAGATACTTTATTGAAGAAAGTGATTTTGTATTTCTGGTCAGAAGTGAGTTCAATTCCATTCTTCAACCACCGAGTGGTAAGCTCAGGTGTCCCAGAAACAGTACACTCTAAGGTACAAGAATCTCCTGCTGTAACTTTCATTGGTTCTGGCTTCTCTACAATAGTTGCTGGCTCTGGAATGAGATGCAAACCATAGTCACATTGGTTGGCAAGATCATGTAAAATATGACTCTGTAGTTTGGTATTGTTGTTTAAATCTACTAACCGAGAACTGATATGGTAGCAAAACATTCCTGACTTCCAGCATCATTTTTAATCTGGCAAGTGTATTTTCCTGCGTCGGTTGGCTCTGCGTTTACAACTTGAAGGATTGCCACTTTATCTGTATATGACATCCAGAGGTTGTCACTTTCTTGGATAATTTCTCCTTTGTCTTTCAACCAAAGAACAGAAATTGGCTCAGAGCCTTCGATAGTTGCTTGTAATTCTGCTGGCTCCCCAACTAGTGCACTGATATCATGAAGTTTCTTCACAAACCTCGGGGGTTCTGAAGACAGGAGAAGAAATACGTAAATGCTACGTAAGAGAACAAAGATGTAAAAAAGAAAAAAAAAGGATAACCGGAAGTCATGTACAAACCTCTCAGCGTCACAGAACAAACGCAAGCATCACTTCCCACATCGTTGACAGCTTTGCAGTGATATTCACCGGCGTCTGCAGCATCAGTGTTAAGAATGTGTAGACTAGCAAGGTAATTCTCAGACAAAATCTTGTACTTCTTGCTAGTTCGGATTTCTCTTTTATCTTTATACCATAAAATTTGGAAGGGAGGTGTGCCTTGAAGCATACATTCCAGATGAACATCAACTCCTTTCAAGGATTCTATTGGCCGAGGTGTCTTGCGGAAAACTGGAGGAGCTATAAAAGAAGAGATTAAAATTTCCGTTAAAAGTGAAGGATGGACATTAACAAGCACCGAGAATATAAAATTGCAGTGAGATGGGAGATTACATGTATTTGAGATAAGTATTTCTATGCTCAGTTAAACTGACCTGGTTTTGGACTTTAATGGAAACATAGTAAACAAATGAAAAATGAAGGAAGAACAGATTCTGACCTTTCACTTTCAGGGAGGTACTGCTGTTAGCACTACCAGCTGCATTTTGAGCTTCACAAGCGTAGTCTCCACTGTCTTCAACAGTCAGATTGTGCATTTCAATGACTGCCACTGAATCAATGAAAGACATGCTGTATTTGTCACTGGGATGAATTTGAGTTTCACCCTTGTACCACGCAATGTGAATTTCTGGGGAACCACCTATCTTGCATTCATATCTAGTTGAATCATGTTCTTTCACAACTCTGGAAGAGTCTAACTTCTTAATAAATCTTGGTGGCTCTGTGGAAAAAGGGGGAAAATGTATTCATAAGGCAATGATGAATTGTTTGCATTAAATCTGCAAAATCTCAAGATACTGAGTATTTATTTATTTATTTATTTATGTATTTATTTATCGAATTTATCACCACCCATCTCGTTGAATGACTCTGGGCAGTTTACAAAACAGTTAAAAACAATTAAAATTACAAAATCACAATAATAAATAGAAAATAAATAGATCCAAGGATAACTGCAGTCACTCAGGGAGCGTCATCAAGGCGCTAGCCACCCCCAGGATTGGGTAAGGTTGTTATCACCCCACGCAAGCTGGCAGAGTCTTTAATTCTTTCCGGAAGGCCAGTAGGGTGGAGGCCTGCCACACCTCTGGGGGGAGAATGTTCCAAAGAGTGGGGGCAACGGCAGAGAAAGCTCTCCTCCTGGGCCCCACCAGCCAACATTCTCTTGCTGACAGGACCCTCAACATGCCCTCTCTGCCTGATTGGGTGGGATGGGTTGATGAGATGGCAGTGAGACAGTCCCTCAGGTAACCTGGACCCGTGCCATGTAGGGCTTTAAAGGTGACAACCAACATTTTGAATTGGATCCAGAAGCAGACTGGGACCCAATGCAGCTCGCATAGTAAAGGTGTTACATGTGCCATTCTTGGGGCACTCAAAATTGTCTGCGCAACCGCATTTTGGACCAGCTGTAGTTTCTGGATACTCTTCAAAGGTAGCCCCATGTAGAGCGCATTGCAATAGTCTAGCCTAGAGATGACCAGGGCATGAGTGACTGACTGATGAGCCCCTTGATCCAGGAGGGGGTGTAACTGGCATACCACACAGAGGTGGGCAAAAGCTCTCCTGGCCACGACTGCCACTTGTTCCTCCAGCAGGAGCCGTGAGTCCAGGAGGACCCCCAGATTACGCACTGGATCTGTCCGTGGCAGTGCAACCATCCAAAACCAAAGATGATAAATCCTTGGATACAGAGGGGCCTCCAATCCAGAGCCACTCTGTCTTACCAGGAGTATATGTTATTTGCCATAGTATATCAGCAAAGAAAGGCCAGCTTATCCCCTTTAAGTTAAACTGTGCTATACTTCTACTTCAAATGTTTCTACTACTTATGAAATATGTATTTCAAAGCTCATTATAGAAGTACAATAAATGTTCAGTTTCTTTCTTGTTATCACAGATTTTAATAGTTTAATTATACTTCTGTGGAAAATAAATCTACCCAGAATTATGCTCATATAATATTATACAATAATATACAAGTAAGATATTCTATTCAGATATTGAAGGATAATCAGCTTCTTTATGGCCACAACAAATCAAATCTTTATTAGAGTCATAGACCAGCATATTATGGCCTAGTATATTTCCATGTGTTGTTAAGTTTAGAAAGTCTTATAAGGATAAATACAAAACACAAAGCACCAGCTTTCTCATGAAAATCACTTCCTATCATAAATTCTACCAGCTGCTACTTTAGAACAAGGATCTTAACCATGTTAGCCCATTTGACAGCCTAACAGAGTCAAGCATACTTTCCATTCATTTTTTTTTAAAAATGGGAACAACAAAAAAATGTGCGGCAAAGATGTATATGTGTCTAAATATAATACGAGTGTTATGATTTATATTTTTTTAGAAATTACCTTTGAAGGTCAGCTGAGCACCACAAGAATCCTTCCCAGCACTGTTGCTTGCAGAGCAGGTATAAAGTCCAGCATCACCTTTACCTACTTTAAGAACAGTCAGTGTGGCTGTGTTTTCTACCAGTGTAATCTTGTAATTGCCACCAGGACGGATCTCTCTGCTATCTTTCGCCCAGGTGATTTTCATTGGCGCAGATCCTGTGACATGGCACGTGAAAGAACCACTTTCCCCAAGAGCAACATCAAGAGGCAAAGGCTTCACGTCAAAGAAAGGAGGTTTCAGATGTTCTGCAAAAAAAAGAGAGAGAGAACATTGTATCTGCCTTCATCACATTTTCTTTAAAAAACCCCTCACTGTTCCCTGCTGTATCATGCCTACAATCTAGTTGTATTCTTTAAACAGTATTACTAAATGTGGCAAGTCCTAATTCAAATAATTACAAACCTGAGAGTTGGAGTTTGGCACTGGAAGAAGCCGTTCCAAGGGCATTTTGAGCTGTGCAAATGTACTGGCCAGAGTGAGCCATCTCTGTTTGTAAGATTTGAAGGGTTGCTACATTATTTAAGAAGGTTGCTTGAATGTTATGATCATCCCGCAAGAGCAGCCCTTCCTTGTACCAAGACACCTGAAGAGGCTCAGAGCCAATGATGCGGCAATCAAAAGCAACAGGACACCCAACCATTTCTTGTACATCTTTTAGCTTCTTCGTAAATGAAGGTGGAAGTTTACGTTCTGCAAATAGAAATGGCAATGTATACCAAATGATCCTAAAACACTCACAATAATATTTTAGGCATCTCCTTCTACTAGAGGCACAGTACCCCAACAGAGACAAGTCCTTTCCCAATTCCTATATGTATGCATTTGCACAGACCCAGAGACCAGCACAACATTCAGAGGGATGGAATCTCTGTGCACATTTCCATATTCCAGCCAGATGTCCTGCTCTGACTGATGCAATGCACTTATGCTAAAATTGTGAGGCACAGGGAGAGAGATGAAAAGTTGCATAAATCTTCTAGTCCCCTTAATATTTAACCCTGCTGCCTGTGTGCATTCCAGGGCAGGGGAATAATGCAGCCTTATTCCTGTGTTTGCCACGTGAGTGGATTTTTTTTTTAAAAAAAGATACATTGCACAAAAATATTTGAACCAACAGACTTAGTGAATTATCACCTTTGATAGCTAGCATGGTTGTTGAAGTAGCGAACCCAACACTGTTCTCTATTTTGCAGGTGTATTCGCCAATGTCAGCATTCTCCACCCGGCTGAAAGTAAGTGTAGCTATATTGTTCTTGAAGTGCATTTTATAAGCCTGAGTAGATCTTAGTTTGGTATCTCCTTTGTACCACGACACTTTAATTTCTGGCGTTCCAGCTGCTTGGCATCGTAAAGACAAAGGCTCTCCAATGGTCACCTCCACACTTTCCAAGTGTTTAACAAAATAAGGTGGTTCTGAAGTAGAAATGAACACCACAGTAAATACCCCGGTGGTTAAGGTATACCATAAAATTAATATAAGAATAATTACCTAACTTAAGTTAGCAACACACCTAAGATTGACACCAAGGCATGGCATACATCCTCCCCAGCATCATTTGCAACTTCACATGTGTATTCTCCTTCATCTTCTCTGTTACTACTAAGGACTTCCAGGATGCCTGATTTTTCTGTGGTCGTTATATTACATTTTGGAGACTGTGTGAGGTTTAAGCCATTCTTCTTCCATGTCACCGAAAGTGGAGGAGTTCCACTGAATGTACTTTCTAGAATGATGGAGTTCCCATGCTCTACGCTGAAATCACTCAGTTTCTTCAGAAATACAGCTGGTTCTAAGAGAGTTGTATAAGAACGGATCACATCAAAAACTGTAACACACATATATGTGTGCACGCACATACTTATTTAAATGTATGCAGGCCATAATAGGTATAGGGAGTAGCATTTAGACAAACCTTTCACAAAAAGATGTGTAGTACAAGAAGCACTGCCAGCATCATTAGTAACAAGGCAGGTGTAATCTCCGGTCTGGAGAGGTCCTACTTCAAACAATTCCAGTTCTGCAGTTGAATCTGTCAAGAGGATGTTGCATGTTTTCCCTGGCACAAGTTCCCTGCTTCCTTTGAACCAGTTCACCTTGAATGGAGGAGTTCCTCTGATCAGACTCCTGAATGTCACACTCATCCCCGGTAAAACCTCCAGCGGATCCAGTGTCTTTGCAAAAGAGGGTGGTTCTAGGTTCACACATACACAATGTTAAAAATGTTAGTAGCTGTGCCAAGTAGGTGGAATATGGATAAAATAAAGATGCAAAGAATGCAAGAGAAATACATAGAAGAAACACCCAGAGCCAATGGCTTTCTTTCCTTTACTGACCTTGAACAGTCAAAAAAGCGCTACATTCGTCAGAACCAGCTACGTTGGCAGCAGTGCAGGTATAGGGACCTGTGTCAGAGGATTCTAGAGCATTCACCTTCAAGGTACAGACATTATCGGAAAAGCTGGTTTCATATTTATCTCCACTGAAGATCTCATCGCTTCCATAAAACCAAGCCACGGTCATTGGTAGCGATCCAGCAATTTTACACTCCAGAACAATGGAAGAACCCAGCACACCAAACGTTTCTTTTAATCTTCTTATAAAAGAAGGTGGGATAAGGTGTTCTGTTTGCGTAAAGGTAACCAAAAGACATGTTTTAAGAGAAGAAAGATACAACTAGAAGAAAGAGAATGGTAACTGAGAAACAAGAGTTCTGGCTAACCTGAGACATCCACGGAGGAAGTGCAGCTGCTTTTCCCCACTTCATTTTGCACTTCAAAAGTGTATAGCCCTCGGTCATCCATGTCTGCAGAAAGGACCTTGAGCGTTGCTACTTTATTGGAAAAGCTAATTTGGTGTTTGCGACTGTTGGCCAGCTGTCTTCCATCCTTAAACCATTTGGTGATTAGCTCTGGAGTCCCACCCACAGTGCACTCCAAAGTAAAAGCACTGCCAGCTGTAACTATCATTGGTTCAGGCTTTTCTAGGATTACAGCTGGTTCTGGAGGAAGGGAAACAGTCAGTTACAAAACTGAGGCTAAGAAGAATAGTTTACTGCCATGACAAAGGCAGCCAAGATTCATTCTTCAGAAGGGGATGGAAGCCAGTACCAACCTAGGACTTGCAAGTATCCAGCACATTCTCGCATCCCAGCATCATTTTTAATCTGGCAGATGTATTTCCCACCACTGGCGGCTTCAGCGCTTGCAATCTGAAGAGTTGCAATGTTGTCTGAAAATGAAATCTGGAGGTTTTCGCTCTCCCTGATTATTTCACCTTTGTCCTTAAGCCACAAAACAGAAATGGGCTGGGAACCTTCCACTACAGCTCGTAAAGCAGTGGGTTCCCCTGCGTAGGTGAAAGTGTCACTCAATTTCTTAACAAACCGTGGTGGTTCTGTGAGAGAAGAGAATGATTTATGGTAAAAGAAGAGGGGAAAGAAAATCGTAAGCGAGCAAGAAAGAAACTCAAGAAAAGAATTTCTTGCGAAGAACAGTTTGTACAAATACTAACCTTTGAACTTGACAGCGCAAGAGCAAATGTCACTTCCCACCTCATTGGAGGCTTTGCACTGATATTCTCCTGTGTCAGCAGCTTCAAGGTTAAGAATGTGAACACTGGCACTGAAGTTCTTTATTGTGACTTTGAACTTCTTACTGCCTCTGATCTGCTTTCTGTCTTTGAACCAGGCAACTTCAAATGGTGGTGTGCCTGCAATTTCGCACTGAAGGATAACATCAGTGCCCTTAAGGGTGTCTACAGGGCTAGGCTTCTTGCTAAAAACAGGAGGCTCTATAATGAAACAGTTATGAGAATACATAATTGGTCTTCAGGAAGAGGTTTCTTGAAAATAGGGCAGAACATTTAAAAACAGAAGAGGTATGTTGCTTAAGAACTATCCTAGTTTTCAGAAGTGCTGTGTACATCACAGTCCACTTTGAAGCTATTTCTAAATCCAAACCTGTAAAGTCTTGCTTGGAAACTCTGTCATCCCCTGCAAATTCTTTTTGCATGCAGGACTAAATATTCCAAATGAATTAGTTCATAAAGGTTATGTGTGCCTACGCATAACCTTTAATATAGATTGTGATGTATGCCACGTCTACAGCCAGATCTGCTATTCTTGATCCCATTCTATGAATCTCCTATGCACAAGAATATAGTCTTACAGACTTCCTTCCTATCTCCATGAGTGTTGTAATTTAAAACAAAAACAAAGAAAGGAATTCTTTCCTCCTCTTACCATATAATTGTTGTTAACATCTAAGTGCTTCTCTAACTATAGAAGGTTGCTAAGAGGTAACAGATAAACATCATGCAGGCTAGTGGGCAGAGATAACAAAAAGCTGGCCTTCCTACTCATGTCACTCATTTGTTATATTATCCCCCACTCTTTCATCCAGCCACCTGTTGCTCTTTGTCAATTTCTTAGGTGCTCATGAAACATATCCTGATCACAGCACAGAACATTTTTAAAGCTTCTTCTGCCAGAACTTGAATTATAGAAAGTAGATTGGACCCTCTGTTGTTCTGTGCTACTACAGCTTTGTATCTTCTGAAACTGACAGTGATAGACAAAGCTAGAGGGTCCCTACACTTGATTGAATGCATTTTCTACCATTGGGAAGTATCTTAGAGTTTAATCTCTAACTCAGCTTTCTCCAACCTAGTGCCTCCAGATATACTGGAGTTCAGCTCCCAGAATTTCTAACCAACTGGCAAAGAAATTACAAGAACTGAAATCCAAGACTTCTGGAAGGCACCAGGTCTATAAAGATGAATTAAATCTTTTAGAGAAGAAAAGAATGCAGGATGAAGGGCACAAGAAGGAAGACTTTGGAAGTAGTAGCTTCTAACCTTTTACTGTTACTACTGTACTGCAGCTCGCAGTGCCAGCAGAATTAAGAGCTTCACAAATGTAATCGCCACTGTCTTCAAGATTGGCATCAACGATGATGAGAACCGCTGTAGCATCACTGAAGGTCATGTAGTATTTATCACTAGCATGGAGTTCTTGGTCATTCTTATACCATGCAATTTTGATTTCTGGGGAGCCACTGATTTTACAGTCAAGTTGACATGAGTCACCCTGCTTCACCATTCTTGAGGCTTCAAGCTTCTTTACAAATTTAGGAGGTTCTGAGAAGCCAGAAGAAAGTAACATTTAATACCATGGTACTGTATGTTTTGAATAAAAACTATTGCAACTTACCATTGGTAAGTTCAGTGGTATTAAAGAAAAAGATAAATTTAGAAGCCAAGAGTGCAAAGGCTCAGATAGATTGTCCACACTTGGCAAAAGTACTTAGCCATAAGTTAGAAATTTATCAGGTTTACTACTAGCTGCGATTGCACAAGTTTACCCACAGTTAGCTTAACCGTAACTGACTTTTTCACTCATTACTATTAATTTGTTACCACTTGGTTTGAATAACAGTAATTATATCCAAAAATATATGATAAATTTCTGTTTTTGAAACTGAAAAATCCAAGTGTTCCTAGACTAATAAGTGATAGGCTTGGTGAACTGAATAGCAAGGACAGCAGAATGATATATAATACTTCCTTCCCTTCCTGCTGCTGCTAGACAGAACTTAAGGGCTGAACCTTCCTGCAGTTACAGTTAAATCTGTGTGGAGAGGATAGAAGAAGAATTATCAGCTCAACCATTCTTCTCCCTTCTAGGTCTCCAATAATAGTTCAATTCTTTGAGATCAATCTCTCACAGAATATATATTAGAAGAAATAAGGGAAAAAGAGATTTCAGGATTAATAGTCTGCTTTTTTTGTTTGTTTGAATACCATCCATTCAATTTTGATATCCAGTTGTTAGAAATAAAGAATTGCCAGAAAAAAGAAAACCCAAGAATTCCCACTTCTGAATTTTAAAAAGTTTTGCTGGACCAAGCTTATTAAAATTCCAATACCTTTCACATTAAGCTGAGCTGAGCAAAAGTCTTTGCCAACTTCATTGCTAGCCTGGCAGGTATACTGTCCAGAATCTCCTTTGCCTACTCTCAGAATCCTTAAGTGAGCTGTATTTGCCACAAATGTGATTGCATAATTTCCTCCTGTGCGGATCTCTCGGCCATCTTTTGCCCAGATAACATGTATAGGGTGGGTTCCAGTCACATGGCACTCGAAGTCAACACCTTCTCCCACAGGAACATCTCTAGATTCAGGTGTGATATCAAACAAGGGAGCTTGTTTGGCTTCTGAAGATGAAAAGGAAGAGGAGATTGTTGTTGTTTCCTTTTGAGCACATATGAGATAAGTATTGTAATATTGCTTTAAAGATCAGGAAGAAAACAGGACAAAGTTAGTGTGAAACAAACCTGAGGCTGTGAATCTAGCACTAGAAGTAGCAGTCCCAACAGGATTGGTAGCCACGCAAGAATACTGCCCAGTATGGGCCATGTCAGTTTGCAAGAGATGAAGGGTGGCCACATTATCAATGTAAGAGGTTTGCACATTGAAGTCATCTCTTAAAGGTACACCATCTTTATACCAAGTAACACTAATAGGTTCAGACCCATTTAGGCGGCAAACAAATTTAACTGGGAAGCCAATAGTTTGCTCTGTATCCTTTAATATCTTCACAAAAGAAGGTGGACGTTTTCGTTCTGTAAAAGAACAAGCATGCAATAAAGATGGGCAGGTGAAATCCTTTGTCAGAGAGTGAAAGACTGGTAAATCTGCATTTTTAAACAACTCAGAATGAAATTATCACCTTGGACTGTCAAGATAGCATTTGAAGAGGCAGTTCCAACACTGTTTTCAGCTTTGCAAATATATTCCCCACTGTCACCGACATCTACTTTGTTAAATATCAATGTGGCAACATTGTCTTTGAAGTACATCTTATGCTCGGGAGTGGATCTTAATTTAGTATCGCCTTTGTACCAAGATATTGTGATTTCTGGAGTTCCAGAAACTTGGCACTGTAAAGTTGTATAGTCTCCAACTGATACTTCAAGAGGCCCCAGGTGTGTGATGAAAGAAGGAGGTTCTGAGAACACAAATATTCAATGTCAGCATTAAGATAATCATACCTGCAACTTGGAACTACATAATGGAGTAACAAAGAGAGTTATAATGTCACAGAGACACACCTAAAGTAGATACCAATGCTTCACAAATATCTTCTCCAGCCTCATTTTCCACCATACAGGTATATTCCCCTTGGTCATCTTTTGTACTATTAAGTATTTCCAGAATGCAAGATTTCTCGGTTGTAGTGATGCTGCACTTATCAGATTGGCTTAAAATGACTCCATTTTTCTTCCATGTCACTGAAATTGGGAGGCTACCTGTGTACCTGCTCTCTAAAATTATAGATTTTCCTGGTTCCACACAGTGGTCACTTAGTTTCTTCACAAAAACTGCTGGCTCTAGAGAGCAAGAAGAACCCAAGCATTAAACAAAAGTGTGGTACAAACATTTAAAAATCTAACAGTAAGCAATTGATTTTTTTGACCAACCTTTGACCAAAAGATGTGTTGTACAAGACACTTTGCCAGCTTCATTGCTTACAATACAAGTGTACTCTCCACTCTGTGATGGCTCTACATCAAAGAGCTCTAGATCTGTGACAGAATCTTCCAAATAGATATTACATTTATCACTCGGTACCAGTTCATTGACTCCTCTAAACCAGTTCACTTTAAATGGTGGAGTTCCTCTGAAGGCAGCTGAAAAGGTAGCACTTCTGCTGGGCAAAATGTCCACAGATTCGGGTTCCTTCACAAAAGAGGGTGGTTCTAAATTTGCATTAAAGGAAATAACAGATTGGTGGATTAGTAAGCAAGCCTACAATTAACATGTCTCTCCTATCCCAGAAGAAAAAATGTGTTAAGAATTAAACATTAAATATGAAAGCTTTCAACAAAGAGCTAGCCAGGCATTAAGTACTGACCTTGCACGGTTAAAACAGCCCTGGTCTCACTGGAGCCTGCTACATTAGCAGCTTTGCATATGTAAGTCCCTGTATCAGATAAGTTCAGTGAAGTGATTTGCAAAGTGCAAACATTATCAGAAAAGGTGATCTGATGTTTTTCCCCACCAGTCAGCTTATGACCATTATGAAACCAAGCAACGGTAATTGGTAGAGATCCTGCAACTTTGCATTCGAGAACCACAGAAGAAGCCAGGACACCATGGGTTTCTTTTAGTTTTCTTGTGAAAGAGGGTGGAATGATCCGATCTGTTAAGAGGAACAAAGCAAAATAATGACCCTCCAGGAATATTGGAATAATTCCTCTAGTAAAAACGTTACGGAGAGAAGCAACAAAACCAACCTAGAACTTCAACTGAAGCGGTGCAGCTGCTTTTGCCCACGTTGTTCTGTACCCCAAAGGTATATAGGCCACTGTCTTCCCTTTCTGAATCAAGAATTTTAAGTGTAGACGTGTTTTTGTAGAAGACAATTCTGTATTTGTCACTGCTTATCAGTTCTTTTCCATCCTTAAACCAGCCTACTGAAAGTTCAGGGGTTCCGCTCACTTTGCACTGTAAGGTACAGGCATCTCCTACAGTAACTTTCATTGGCTCTGCCTTTTCCACAATGACAGCAGGCTCTGGAAAGAGATACAAGCAAGATCCAGTTGTAAATCTCTGTTTCATTGGACACAGGGCTCTTGTACTTACAGAAGCCCATGCTCAAAATTGCTTTTTTTCTTTTTTCTTTGCTTTAGAGTTATTATTTATTTATTTAAAATTATTGGCCACCCAACTCCAGTGGAATTAGGACAACCCTATGAGTGGCTTTCCTTTCCTGGAATACAGACACCTGACAAACCCTTCCAATATTATGTTTAGGAGGGGGGATGTTTGTGGCATCTGCATAAAGCACATTAAGACATCAAAACATTCTTACTCAGTAATTAATATGCTCTGGATGCAATAAAGAGCAAATCACATTTGTTGGTATATTTTCACTCTGTCATAACATGGATCATCTATGATGCTTTCCTGAGCTAAAGTTAAGATGATGTCCTAGGTCAAAATGATTTTTGTAACATACTTCAAATGATAACAAAAGTCAGTTAAATGCCCCAAGAAGTTCCTGATGCAGTTATTTTCTCCTTGTGTCTTGCTATGTCTAAGCCTGTAAGTACATTTATTCTGATATAATCACAATCCAATCTACCCCTTCCACAGAATGCATCTCCTCCCTTTTCTCCATTGTTCCCCTGCACTGATTTTATATTGCAAGCTTTTGGGGGGCAGTTCCCTCCCCTTTTCTGCACTCCATAATGTGCCTTGCACATTGCTAATGATAAATAAACATAGTTATGGTCACAATCTTAAAATTCTCAAGGCTCTGACATCCAGACTTTCCAGCTTTAAAAATAGGTCTTTTAAAAAAAGACAAATGTCTGTGATTACCAACCTAAGACTGTTAAAATAGCCATACATTCACGGGTTCCAGCATCGTTGCTGACTTGACAGATATACTTCCCAGCACTTGATGGCTCTGCTTTGGCAAGCTGTAAAGTGGCAATGTTTTCCACGTAGGTTACTGCAGTGTTTTCACTTTCTCGGATGACCTCTTCCTTATCCTTGAGCCACAAAACTGAAATAGGCTGAGAGCCTTCTACTGTTGCTTGTAACTCTACTGGTTCACCCACCACAACAGTTAGACTATTGATTTTGGTGACAAATTTTGGTGGTTCTGAAGAGAAAAGAGGCAACGGGCATCAAGACTCCCAGTAATAAACCACTTGGCCAATCTTACACAGAAGAATGTATATTTTCTGTAGGAACAAGTGTTGATTACCTTTCAGTTTTACAGTACAAAGGCAAGTATCACTTCCCACATCATTCTTCGCTTTGCACTGATATTCACCAATGTCAGAAGTTTCAATGTTAAGAATATGAATATTTGCATAGTAGTTTTTGGAGGTGACCTTGTATTTTTTACTGCTGCGGATTTGTCTCTTATCCTTATACCATGTGATATCAAATGGTGGACTCCCAGAGATTTCACATTCAAGGCGAACTTCGGTACCTTTGAGGGTATCTACTGGAGATGGTTTTCTGCTAAATACAGGAGGTTCTAGGAAGAAGAAAGAAGCAGGTTCCATTTTTTAAAAGATAATTATGGAAAAGTTAGTGTTGCAACATTTGTGTGAATAAAATCAGAGCATTGAGAGACTGTATCTATCATGGCATGAGTTTGTCAGACGTGAATTATCCAAGGTATCAGTCAGGACTAAGATTGACATCTCAATGATAATGCCAAGCCAAAAAGGCAAAGGGTAGCAGGAGATGGGTATTTTATCATCTTTTATGAAGAACAACCCAGACCTCCTCTGATACGCAGAAAGTATGATGACCATCTCCATCTTTACAATGACTGCAATCAAATCTCTTCGGTCAAGAATAGCCAATAGTGGGCCATGGCAGTTTTGAGGACATCAGGTCCTTCTGACAGTTTAAGCTATAAAGTAGGGAATACTAGTCTTCAAGAGGATTCATACATTTATTTTCCATAATCCCCCTCCCCCGCAATAAATATCACCATGTCACCTTCATTCTCCACCCTCCAAAGGTTGCCCCATCTGCCTTAAATCATTCTCGATAAATAGAGCAAATGCCATAAGTTAGAAAATACTTCTTAAGTGAAAACAAGGACCCTGTCGTGATTGAAGACAATGTTATGCCATCCTTACATTGGATTCCATTTAATGTCAGGATTTCAACTTGTAATTGGACTCCTCCTCCCCTCCTCCCCTCCTCCCCTCCTCCAACCTGCAGGGTGTCCTAAAGTTTTTCTGCAGATTTTGGGAACTGCAGGAAGGAGGAGGATTTTAGTTTGACTACAGTATCTGTTCTCCTTTCTGGTGGCCTTATACCATGGGGTATGGTCCAATTAGCTTATGAAAATATGCATTTTACTTGCTAACCTTTTACTAGAAGTTTTGTACTGCAGCTTGCTCTGCCAGCAGGATTCTGTGCTTCACATATGTAATCTCCGCTATCTTCAATGCCGAGATGCCTCATTTCAAGAACTGCAATAGAATCTATGAATGACATCTGGAGCTTTTCACTAGCATGGAGCTCAGTATCATTTCTGTACCATACCACTCTGATTTCAGGAGAGCCAGTGATTTTACACTCAAGTCGTGTGGAGTCACCCTGTTTCACAACGTTGAATGGGTCTAGCCTCTTGGCAAACTTTGGAGGTTCTAAGAGGAAAGAGCAAACATTGAAAGTGGATCAATAGCAAGGAAAGAGATCCTCTCTCTACTTATATAGTAAAAGAGGAGGAAATTCATTCTGTATAATAGAAGAGGGTAAAGAACTCTGATGAACTTATCTCTAGAGTTTCCTATATTTTACAACGCACAGAGGAAAGTAATTAAAACACTTTTATCAAAAGGAAGCGGAAGAGAGATACGAGAGAAGAAACACAGAAGCCATTAGCACACCTGCTACGTTCAGTGTGGTTGTACAAGAATCACTGCCAACATCATTGGATACTTGGCAAGTATAATTCCCACTTCTTGAGACATCCACGGAATAAAGATTTAAGAAACCAGTTGATCCTTCAATCCCAAATACACAGTTAGGTCCAGGTCCAAGTTCTAAATCTTCTTTAAACCACTTTATTTTAAAAGGTGGCGTTCCCTTTAAAACAGCCTTAAATTCCACAGCAGAGTCAGGGATTGTTTCTTGGCTTTCTGGTTTTGTTAGGAAGCTTGGTGGTTCTAAACATTTTAAGAGACAAAAGAGTGGATTTAGTTTTGGCGCGAGAAACCTAGATCAGAAGGCAGCATCATAAAAGAGAGAAAGAGCCAAACGCATTAAGAAGATGGTAAGAAGTTAAATTCTAAAAGAGAGAACGCAAAACAGTGTTTTTAACTAGGTCAAACAGGCTATTGTGAAATTGAAACTGGACAAGATTTGGATTTTACACGGTACAGAATTGAGAAAGAAGATAGGAATCCAAACCTTTTACTGCTAAGATGGCACTGCATGAGTCACTTCCTGCAATGTTAGTCACGCTGCAAGTGTAATTTGCAGAATCGGTCAACTCTAGGTAATTAATCTCTAGCGATACAGTGTTCTCATGGCACAAACTTCTGTATTTTGCACTATCGGATATCTCTTTTCCATCTTTATACCATTTTGCTGTAATTGGAAGTGATCCGGAAACTTTGCATTCCATATGGATGGCTGATCCAAGAATTTTACTCATTTTGGGTAATTTTTTGGTAAATGAGGGTGGGATTGATTGATCTGCCCAGAAGGAGAGGAAAAAGACAAATAGTGACTCATTCCTTGCTTGTAAGCTTCTCGGTGAAAAAATTTAGAAAATTTAAGTGAAATGCCAGTTGGAGTGAATATAAATACAAACCTAGTACAGTCAGAACAGCCTCACAAGTATCGCTTCCATAATCATTTTCAACTCTGCAAGTGTAGACACCACTGTCTTCCTTCACAGCGGATTCCATCCTGAAACTGGCCACATTATTATCAAAGCTCATGGTGTAAAATCTACTGGGCATGAGCTGTTTCCCATCCTTGAACCACCTGACTTGAAGTTCTGGAGTTCCTGCTACTGTACATTCCAAAGTCACGGGGTCTTTTTCAGTCACTTTAACTGATTTTGCCTTTTCTATGATCTGAGCAGGTTCTGAAGTAAGAAGTAAAACAAAAAATACATTGACGTCTTTCTATGCATAATAGGCAGAAGACAGGAATTCAAAGTAGAAATCTAAACTCACACACCTTGTACTAAAAGTAAAGCAAAGCACTTTTCAATTCCTGCTTCATTCTTGGCCTGACAGGTGTATCTCCCACTGTGACTAAGGTCAACCTTCCTGACCTTCAGTTTTGCAACATTTTGCTCCAGGGTAATGTGGAAGTTCTCATCATTTTCAAGTATTCTCTCATCTTTGATCCAAGATACCGTTAGTGGCTGGGAACCAGCCACAACGCATTGAAATGTAGCAGATTCTTTCAAAACAGCATGGATATTTTCTATCTTCTTAATGAACGATGGTGGCTCTGTGGTTTTAAAGAGAAGCCAGGAGAAGGTTTGAAAATGCGTTGAAGAAGAGGAAATAAAAAACAAAATCTTTCGTAGAAGTTTCTTCCTGGACTGCCATGCCTAAACTCACCTTTCAGGTTGACTCTTGTGCTACATGAACAACTTCCACCTTCATTTGATATAACACATTGGTATTCGCCAGCATCTTGGAAATCACAGTTCATTATTTGAAGGGCAAATATAAATTGTTTATCAACCATGGTATATTTTTTGCTGCTTCGAATCTCAGTGTTGTTCTTTAGCCAGGTTACTTCAAAGGGTGGGGTGCCTGTGACTTCACATTCTAATACAGCATCATAACTTTTTACGACCTCCACAGGTTTTAGCTCCCTTACAAATGTGGGAGGTTCTGAATTGGAAAAAGAAAACAAAATTGTCTCAGGGGAAAAAAGAAGGGAAATCCAACAGCGCAGGTGAATGAAGCCAAAAAGAAATACGGATGACTAACCTTTCACTTTCAATTCAATGCTGCAGCTCTTGCTACCTGCATCGTTACGAGCTTCACATATATAAGTCCCACTATCCTCTACCTTGGCACTGAGGACTTTAAGAGTGGCAATGTCATCTACATAGGAGACTTCATGTTTATCAGAGTCCAATACTTCATTCCCATCAAGATACCAAGCCACGTGGATTTTAGGTGTACCGGCTACCTGGCATTCAAAAGTGGTAGACTGCCCTTTCCTCAAAACTACTACAGGGCTTGGTTTCTGAATAAACCTGGGTGGTTCTAAAATTGGGAGGAAAAAAAAATGCATTCAGAAAGGATATCCTGAAAAAACGTAATTGGCATTTTTAAGAGCTAAGAAGAAGGACGCAGTGATATGCATGCATCACTTCCTTGCCAGTAAAAAGAAAAAAAAAAGTAAGATTATCTAACATAAAATGCAATTAATAACCACAGGAGAAAAAAATGCAGACCTTTCACAAAGAGAGTTGCTTTGCAGGTAGTTGACCCAACATCATTGCTTAGTTGGCAGATATAATTTCCTGAGTCAGATAGCTTGGCTGAAAAGAGTTCTAGTACACTTGAAGTGTCATCCTTATACACTGAGCGAGAGGCTCCCGAAAGGAGTTCTTTGCTATCTTTGATCCATTTTATTTGTAAGGGAGGTGTACCACTCACAAGAGCTTTGAGCTGGACTCTAGCAGCAGGTATAACATCCTGTGATTGTGGTTTCTCAATGAAACTTGGGGGTTCTACAAAGAGTGAAAAGAAAAATGCCCCCAGAAAGGTAATCAATGATACAATGAAAAAGATCCAAAATTAAAGAAAAATGCCAAATGATTTGCCAATAAGAAAAAGCCAGACATCCAAACCTTTAACAGTTAAATATGCACTGCACTGGTTTTGTCCTGCTTCATTTGTTGCTTCACAAGTATAAGATCCACTGTCTGAACCCTCCAGCTGATTGACCTCCAAGAATGCTGTGTTATCATGGAAAGAATATTTGTGCTTTTCACTAGCACTTATCTCCTGGCCATCCTTGTACCACTGGATGCTTATTGGATGCGACCCAGATACTATACATTCAAGGTGAACGAAAGATCCCTTAATGCTATCCATTTTCTTTAGCTTTTTGGTGAATTTAGGTGGTATGATCAGATCTATCAAAGACAGATCAAACAGATTAGATCAAGCCGTCTATGTTTGCCTTTTGTAGTCCGAAAAATAAGAAGCGCCATTAAAGAGACAACCTGCCCACCCACCCTCAAGAGAAGTATAGAATACGAACCTAAGACGTTAATGCTAGCTTTACAGCTGCTGCTTCCAACATCGTTGGAAACCTCAAATGTGTATTCGCCACTATCTTTCTTTTCTGCAGAGACAATCTTTAACATGGAGACTGTATCAGTAACACTGATTTTGTATTTAGGGCCAAATGTCAATTCCTTCCCACCTCTTAACCATTTGGCACTAATGTCTTTTGTTCCTGAAAATCGACACTGCAAAGTAGCTGGGTCACCTTCCGTGACATCAATGGAAACAGCTTTATCAATGATTGTGGCCGGTTCTGCAATAAATACAGGAATAAATATGAGCTGTAATGTTGACTAAAGATAATGCTATATATCTGGAACTGAGACCTGGCTACACAGACCTTTTACTGTTAGCAAAGCAGAACATCTTTGGATGCCGGCATCATTTTTCGCCTGACAAAAATATTTCCCATCGTGCTTCACTTCAATGGCCCTGATCATGAGAGTAGCCACATTGTTCACAAAAGTCATTTTTGTGTTGTCATCTTCAATAATGTCATCATTATCTTTCAACCATGAAATTGTTATTGGCATGGAGCCTTTAACTGTTGCCTGAAACACAATGGTGCCTCCTCTGAGAGAGCTAATGTTCTCAATCCTCTTCACAAATTGTGGGGGCTCTATTGGAAGAATAGATATCTGGTGAATAGCAACATCATCAAGAACATTAGTATAAAAAAGACAGAGTGAGATTTTCTAAGTAGCACTAACCTTTCAGGGTCAGTTCAGAGCTACAGACACAGCTTCCTACATCGTTTGTTACCCTGCACTGATATTCGCCAGCATCTGAAGAATCAAACTTGAACACTTGGAGGCTAAACAAGGATTTCTCAGTGGTTATTCTGTGCTTCCTACTACTCCTCACAGGCTTGTTGTCCTTTAGCCAATATACCTCCAGTGGGGGAGTACCTAAGACCTCACACTCCAGTATTACATCTGAGTCTTTTAATACTTCCCTGGGTTCAAATTCCTTGATAAAATATGGTGATTCTAAAGTACAAGACAGAAAGAAAGAGTAGGAATGGTTACTTGTTTTGGGAATTCTTCCAAGAGACAACAGTCTTATTGAGAAAATTTGGCAGGAAGGGTGTTTAAGACACACACACACACCTTTTACTGCCACCACACTACTGCAGGTCTCTTTCCCGGCATCATTTTTCACCTCACACATATATTCACCACTGTCTTCAGTTGTGACATCCAACAGACTGAGTACTGCTGTAGCATCCATCACAGACATCTTGTACTTATCACTCTCTTTAATCTCTCGATCATCCTTAAACCAAGAGATTTTAAGTTCAGGGGTACCCTTTACTTTGCAATCTAACTGGGCATATTCTCCTTTCTTAAACAACAGGGAGGGCTCCAGCCTTTCCAAGAAAGCAGCAGGTTCTGTGAAATTAAGAAGAGCCATTGAAAGAGTGGTACAAAGAAGTTAAAGAAATATAAGAGACAAACATTTAACATTTTAGATCTCCACCCAAATATATGGCAATAAGAGAAAGAGAGTGCAAACCTTTCACAAATAGGTTTGCACTGCATTCAATGGAACCAGCCATATTGCTGACTTTACACGAATAGACACCAGAATTGGCAGGTTTTACTGCATAAAGTTCCAGGTAGCTTGAGAAGGCTTCAGTCATGATATAGCAAGCTCCACCAGTGGTTAATTTAGCATCACCCTTAAACCACTGCACAGAAAATGGTTCTGTTCCTTTAAAGGTAGTCTTCAAACGCACTGTCGATCCAGGCAATACTTCTTGAGATTCTGGCTCTGTTACGAAGCTAGGTGGTTCTAAACAATGTTTGAAAGACATATTTGGAAAAAGGTAAGTAAATAATGGATGACAAACACTAGTTGGAAAGAAACATTAAGAAAAGGCGGCAGAAAAGATGGCAAACCTTTTACGACCAAAGTGCTACTGCATTCTTTACTGCCTGCAGAGTTTGTAGCTCTACAAGAATACACCCCTACATCCTTGGTGTCCAAATGCTTGATTTCCAAGGACGCTGAGCCTTCTTCATACCGCAGTGTGTACTTGGCACTGGGAGTGATCTCTTTGTCATGTTTAAACCAAGATACTTTTATTGGAAGCGAGCCTGACACTTTGCAATCCAAATGACAGGAGCCTCCAACCACACTGTCAACATTCCGCAGAGTTTTGGTAAAGAATGGAGGAATGGTACGATCTATTTCAAGGCAAAGTAAAGCAAAGAAAGAAAGCGAATATAATACAAGAAGCATTTCACCAAAGGTTCAGAATTTGTTGAGAATTGCAGTAGGGTTCTCTTAGCCTAAAGATGTTTACCAACCTAACACACTAAACGTGGTGGTGCATGAACTACGTCCAACGTCGTTAGAAACTTCAAAGGTGATTTCCCCAGTATCGTGTAATTCCGAAGTATAGAATTTTAACTGGGCAACATTGTTTTTAAAACTGATTCTATACTTTTTGTTGGAAACCAGAAGTTTTCCATCTTTGAACCATTTTGTTTTTAATTCTGGGGTGCCTGCAACTGTGTATTCCAAAATTGCTGGGTCCCCAGCTGTCACCTCAATGAACTCCGCTCTGTCAACAATTGTGGCAGGTTCTAAAACAGAATTAAATAGCAATCATTACAGAGTGAACACAACCAGCTTGCCAATGTATGAAGGACTGTGCAATGTTAAAAAGCTCCTGAACTGACCTTTAACTGATAATTGTCCAAAACATGTTTGGCTTCCTGCGTCATTCTCAGCCAGACATGTATATTTACCACTAGAATTAATCTGGACACCTGAGATTTCCAAAGTGGCAAGGCCATTTTCAAAGGTAATTTTGACTTTGTTATCTTCTTTAATAATGTCTTTTCCCTTCATCCAAGTAACAGAAAGAGGAGCTGAGCCTTTCACAACTGCCTGCAAAAAGACTGTCTCTCCGGCAAGTGTAGTCACATCTTCAATTTTCTTAATAAAAGATGGAGGCTCTAATTTGAAATAAGAAAAAAAAAACCCTTATTTGTTATTATCGTTTCACATTAGACTAGAAACTGTATTTCAGGCTTTTGAAAGAAAATTAAGCAGATCTTGTAAGGCAGTATTTATCATATCCTTTCTAACTATAAGACTTCAAAAAACATTTAAAGGAAAAAAGAAAGTTACAATCTTGATGGAAAGAGTTTATTACTTGCCATGTAATCCTACATGTTTCACATGTGACATTTTATCTTTGAGGACAGGGGGGCTAAAGAAGTAGGACACTCAGGAACAGGACCTCTTTCTTGTAAAGATGTGGAGAGAAGGTCCCAAGGTAGAAATGTCTGTATTTGGCACATCTACTGTACATTCATATTATACACCAAAGATAGGAATGGATTGTTGTGTGCTATTGTACCCTAAGGGGAGTGTTTTTTTTTTAAAGTAGCATGACCCATTCCCTGCCAATCTGCTAATGCCCAAGCACTTGGTGAGTGCCCTGGCAAGAAACAGTCTGGCTGCTGCTGAAACTTTGGACACTTTGCTGCTCTGAAACAGCATTAGCCTGTTCAGACAAACAAATCTCTTCTTACAGTGCCATTTGATCACCAGGGTGCTTTATCTCATGTTTAACTGGGACTGAAACAACTTCTGGTAACTATCTTAAATTTGAGCTACTTAGAACTGCTTTGTTCCACTTAGGTGAGTGTTGAAACAGAAAGAAGTGTCTGTAATGCAGGTGAGAGATCTGGACAATGTACCCACTTGCAGCCCAAAGTGATCAATACAAAGTCTCTTGAAATATTGTTTGGGCAAAGCACTCTTACTCTGGGGATCACCTGAAGGATACTTGGTCTTTGCTTGTATCAGTAGGCCATGCGATGCAGAAAGAAAAGCAACAAAAGGGTGGTTAAGCAAGGAAAAACTGTTTCCAAGAAAGAATGTCTTTCTGCTTATGTTAAAAGATACGTGTGGTCCTCTTGATCATTCACTAACCTTTCAGTATGTATGTTGCACTGCAAATGCACTTTCCAACTTCATTTGCTATAGAACATTCATATTCACCAACATCTGCACTATTGAATGAAGAAATCTCCAGAGAGATAAGAGACTTTTGGGAAGTCAAGCGGTATTTTTTACTACTGCGAATTTGCTTCTTTTCTTTAAACCAACAGATTTCAAATGGTCCAGTACCAGAAACCTCACACTGAAGAACGGCATTTGTGCCTCGCACTATTTCAGCTGGCTCAAGAGTTTTGATGAAAGTAGGAGGCTCTACAAAACCATCAAAGCATGAATAAAGAATTAGTGACTGGTGAAACACATGCATAGAAAAGAGTATCTTCATAAGAAATCATCAGTGGATATGAGAACAAACCTTTTACAACAATCTCAGTGCTACAACTGTCACTGCCAGCATCATTAACCGCCTCACAGGAGTAACTTCCACTGTCATCCACTTTCAGATTGGAAATATCTAACACAGCCACGTTGTTGGCAAAGGACATCCTGGATGTATCACTCTCTCTAATTTCTTTGTTATTTTTGAACCATGTCACCTGAATCACAGGAGACCCTTTGATTTTGCACTGAAGGTGTGCTGACTCTCCTGGAGTCAACAAGTAAGAGGGATCCACTTTCTTCACAAATGATGGTGGCTCTACAGAAAGAGTCCAGAAAGAAAGAATCCTAAAAGATAGTATCTTAGAAGATCAATGTATTACAAAGAGTACAAAACAAATTATTTAGAAGCATGCAATCAGCTTTGGACTGAATTCAGTTCTGTCATTATTCAAAACTTGACTTTTAAGACCAGTAACCAAGATTTCTCTAGGAGAAAAGAAAAACTTTTTTCATCAATGCTATAAAAATATATACACTTCTATTTTGGTCAAACCTTAAGCTTTATTATAGCACATTAAGACTACAGCAAAATATTTTTAAGCATATTTTTTGATACAGAAATGAAGAAGTAGGGAAAAAAATCCTTAAAAATGTTTCCTGTCCACCTTCTAATTTTGACAGGTAAATATTACACTGTTAGTAAAAGAATGCAAAGAACATTTACATTGTGTATGCCAATCCTTTTCTTACCTCTGATGGTTACTGTTGCAGACGAGGAACTACTTCCAGCTTCATTTGTGGCAGTGCAGGAATACGTGCCAGAATCTTTAAGCTTGGACAGTGGGATTTCGAGTGATGCTATTTTGTCTTCAAAGATGATCCGGTAATCCTTGCCTGGAGGTATTCTATGGCCATCTTTAGTCCAGAAGACAGTTACTTTTCGGTCTTCATCCACTTGACATTCAAGACGTATCTTTTTATTGACTGCAGACTGTACAGACTGCAATTCCTTAATAAAATGTGGCTTATCGATAATGGTTAATTCTGCCTGGCAGACATCTGCTCCAAACTTGTTGGAGGCTTTGCAGCTGTATACCCCCCTGTGGTTAACTGTGAGATGTGCAATCTCTAAACAGTGCTTGGTGTCAGATGCTAAAATCCTGTAGTGTTCGGTGGAAGAGATGGGAACTCCGTCCTTCTGCCACACTATGTCTATCACGGGCGTGCCTGCCACAGTACAGGGAAACCTGGCACTCTTACCCACAAAAGTTGTAAGAGATTCAGGTCTGGTTACAAAAGTTGGAGGAAACGCTTCTGCAAAAGAAAAGGGGGAGAAACGTGTTTGGCTAGGCAAATACGTTGGCCTCTTTTCTC